GACGTAACAGAAGGCGAAGTCTAGTTCTCATTAGAAGCAATGGAAGGCAAAAATCACTGGAATGAAATGCTTAAGTTACTGCGAAAAAAATACCTGTCAATGTAGAATGTTATACCCATCAGGAATACACTTCAGAAATGAAGACAAAATTGAAAACAATTTTTATAAGCTAAGAGCAGAGAGAGTTTATCTGTATAAATATAAACCTGTAAAAATTGAGACTGAAATTATTTAAGTAAATAAAATAGTAATATAATATTTCGTGATAGAGATGTAGATATAGTAATAAATCCCATACAATGAAATATTCAACACTAAAAGGAAATGAGCTATCAAGTCATGAAAAAAAGTAAAGGAACCTTAAATTTCTTTTCGATTTTGTTTTTTTGAGATGGAGTCTCATTCTGTCGCCCAGGCTGGAGTGTTGGCATGATCTCGACTCACTGCAACCTCTGCCTCCTGGGTTCAAGCTATTCTCCTGCCTCAGCCTCCCACGTAGCTGAGATTACAGGCACCCACCACCATGCCTGGCTAATTTTTGTATTTTTAGTAGAGAGGGGGTTTCACCATTTTGGCCAGGCTGGTCTCAAACTCCTGACCTCAAGTGATTCTCCCACTTCAGCCTCCTAGAGTGGTGGGATTACAGGTGTGAGCCACTGCGCCTGGCCAGGAACCTTAAATTTCTAAGTGAAAGGAGCCAAAATGAAAAGGCTATAGTACTGGTGATTCCATTATTACATTCTGGAAGAGGTAAAATTATGGAAACAGTAAAAAACATCAGTGGTTGGCGGGGAGTCAGAGAGAAAAGAGGGATGAATAATTGCAACACAGAGCAAGGAAACAATTTTGATTGGCACTATAATGATAGATGCACATCATTACACATTTGTCAAAACTCATAGAATGTGCAACACAAAGAGTCACCCTTGATGTAAGCTATGGATTTGGTTGTTAAGGATGTGTCCATGTGTACAATGTTCATGGATTGTAGCAAATGTACCATACAGATGTAGGATGTTGACAATGGGAGATGCTGTGCGTGTGGAGTTAAGGATATGTGACAACTCTCTTTTCCACTGGGTATTTTTCTGAACCTAGAACAGCCCTAAAAAAAGCCTATTAATTGTACATATATGTATATATGTAAAATATGTGGCTATAAAATTAAATTAAATTGAATTATCTTGTTGCAATATTCTTACTTTGTTTATTATGGGTATGTGGAATGCAATATGTTGAAGATATATAATATAATCTCTAAACACTAAAAAACCCCAAAAGAACAAATAGATATTTAAAAATTAAAGAGACCAGGTGAAATTAAATTTAAAGCAGCTTCCATTATTCAAAAGAGGTAAGAAAGTGAAAATAAAAGATGAGACAACCAGTAGGAAAACAATAGAAAACTACTAGTAGGTGAGAGACATAAACTTAACATGTCTGTAATGACTGTAAGGAAACGGACCTAATACTTCAATTAAAGTCAAGATCATCAGACTGAATTTAAAAATCTATATGTTATTTATACACAAATGCATATGCACAAACTTTAAGGACATGCCTTTAAAGTGAAATATTTTTGTAAAATATCCCAAGCAAATTCTAATCATTAAAAACAATCTGGCTATGGAAGTGTTAGATAAAATAAACTTAATGGCAAAAAGTCAGCATGGGCAAAGAGTGGCATTATAATGACACAAGTTCACTTCATCAGAAAGACAAAACATCCCTAAATGAGTTTTTAAAAAAACTTATCTCCAAAATACGAAAATTAAAAATTGATAAAACACAAAGGAAAAATAGAAAAGGATTTTTAGTTGGACATAATAAAAGAACAAGCATACAAAAGAATTAATAAGGATATAAGATATTTGAAAATGTATTATCCAACTTGATCTAGTTGACATTTAAAGAATAATATAATCCACAACTAAATTGTCTGCATTCTTTTACAGTTTGCATTAATTCGAAACATTCAATGTAACGAGCCATCTAATGGGCAATGAATTTTCTCTTAGTGAATTGCAATGGCTTGAAATTATTTAGGATACAATCTATGATCACAATTGGATTGAGTTAGACATCAATAAAAAAAGTAAGACATGCTCAAATATGTGGCATTTAAATAACACCACTAAACATGTGGGACAAAAAAAAAATCATGAAGAAAAGTAGAAAACATTTAGAATTGAATATTAATGAAAGTAAAGTATATCAAAATAAAGTATAAGCATACAATGGTGAAGTTAAAGCAATGAATAGATAGAAATTTGGAAATAGGTGGAGATTAGTTTAAAGACATAGGTTACAAAGAAGAAATGTTTAAAATAAATAATATAAACTTCCAACCGTAGAAGCTAGAAAAAGAACATTACGCCCAAAGTAGAAAAAAGGAAAAGAACACAAGAACAAAAATCAACAAAGCAGAAAACATACAATAGAAAAAGTAAAGAAATCCAAAATTGAGTTCCTGTAAAACTTAATAAAAATGATAAATTCCAAGAACTATTTACCCCGCATAAAGAGAAACATCACAAATTGTCAATATTTAGAATGAAAGAAGAGAGATGTCGGCAAGTGCTATAGAACTTAAAAAGTTGCTAGAGGAGAGGAAGGTATTAAGAACAACTTTTGTCAATAATTTAACAACCCTGAATAAACGGACAAATTCCTTCAGAAACATGGCTTTCTCAAAGCATGATTAAAAAAGTAAATAACTCTTCTCACAAAGAAAACTCCAGGTCATAATCACTGTATTTCTAAATGCTAAGAAACACTAAAATAATAAATATTCACAGCATTACACTATTTCAAAGAGTAAAGGAAGAGATAACAATTCTTAATTTCTTTTATGAGGGCAGCATGTCTCTGAAACAAAAATTGGTAAGTTCATTACAATGAAAGAACATTACAGAGAAATATCTTTACTAATATGAATGCAAAAATGCAAAACAAAATAGTAGAAAATCAAACCCACAAAATGTAAAAGGGTGGGACATCATGGCCAAATATGGTATATTCCAAGAGTGCAAGTTTAACACTGGAAAATCAATAATTTTATCATATTAACAAAAAATGGAGAAAACTATATGATCACATCATTTATGCAGAAAAGGCATTTGATAAAATTCAACATCTGTGATAAAATACGTGCCATTGAAAACCTCATCACATTTGGAATAAAATAAAATTTCTGAATAAGACTAATTTATATCTACAAAACTCTATTAAAAGTGAAAAAGCAAGCCCCGGTACACAAGATATTTGCAATCATTATATCCAACAAGGGAATCACATCTTAACTTCATCAACAGATTGTACATTCAATTAAAAAGAGACAAGGCTACCTAATGAGAAATCAGACTGAAGTCTCAAAAAGGCTCTTACCAAAGAAGCTACATAAATTAGCAATAAACAGATCAAATTGTGCTAAAGTTCATTAACCACCATGAAAATGAAAATTGAAACAGAAATAACTAAAATGAAGGACAGAGAGAGGAGGAAAACAAGCGTAGGCATTGATGTGTAGGAAGTGGAATTTTCATACACTTCTGGTGGGAGCATAAATTAGTACAGTCTTAGAAAACTTGTCGGAAGTATCTACCAACACATACCCTGTGATGCGACAACTTCACTCTAGAAATATACCCAGTAGAAATCCTTACTTATTACACCAAAAGGCATGTAGAAGAATATTTGTAGCTAAATATTATTTTTAATAGCTGGAACAATAAACAAACCAAATATTCATTAATAGTAAAATGGAAAAACAAGTGGTGTTATATTTATTGAATCTGTAATATACACCGGTGAGGATAAAACAGAACTATTGCTTTGTATGAACCTTACAATCATCCGATTGAAAGAACCAAAAAGGATGAGTTCATGTCCTTTGTAGGGACATGGATGAAGCTGGAAACCATAATTCTGAGCAAATTATGGCAAGGACAGAAAACCAAACACCGCATATTCTCACTCACAGGTGGGAATTGAACAATGAGAACACTTGGACACAGGGCGGGGAACACCACATACAGGGGTCTGTCGTCGGATGGGGGAAGCGGCGAGGGATAGCATTAGGAGATATACCTAATGTAAATGATGAGTTAATGGGTGCAGCAAACCAACATGGCACATATATACCTATGTAACAAACCTGCACGTTGTGCGCATGTACCCTAGAACTTAAGAATAAAAAGTAAAAAATTAAAAAAAAAAAAGAAATTTGTATCTTTTAAAGAATTTTCTGTTCATCTAAAAGAAAAAAAAAAAAAAAACCCAAACATGAAGAGTACATGGTAATTGTTTCTACTTGCAAAAAGTTCGAAAACAGACAAAACTTACCTTTGGTTGTTTAGAAGTCGTGGTTGTGAGGTGGGAATCTGGGGATTTGGGTGGTTCTTTTTCATTTCTTCATCGTGGTACTAATTGCACTGTTTTTTTTTTTGTTGTTTGTTTGTTTCACTTGAATATTAATTGACCTGTGAACCTATGATTTATTATATACTTTTCTTTTTCATTTTTTGTTTTGTTTTGTTTTGACGGAGTTTCGCTCTCTCGCCCAGGCTGGAGTGCAGTGGTAAGATCTCTGTTCACTGCAACCTCCGCCTCCCAGGTTCAAGCTATTCTCCTGCCTCAGCTTCCCGAGTAGCTGGGATTACTGGTGCCTGCCACCACGCCCAGTTAATTTTTTTTTTTATTTTTTTTTTTTTATTTTTTTTTTGTAGTTTTAGTAGGGACGGGGTTTCTCCATGTTGGGGAAACTGGTCTCGAGCTCCTGATACGTGTTTATATATATTCAATTAAAATTTTACTTAAGAAGTGTTTATGAATCTTCTTGTTCCTCAGCTGTTGGAAGTGATTTTGTTGTCGTTGTTGCCTTAATTAGGCATCACGTCCCCTGGAGTGCTTGTCCTGCAAGAGGCAGGGCCCGGGAGTTCGCATGTTCCACAGCGCACCGCACCCAACCTCAGCCCTCCTGGGCTCTCCCAGCCGCCTGCCTCTTCCAGCTGCGTGGCCGGGGCGTCATCTCGCGCTCCCAACAGCCCTGTAACCACCAACTGCCATTATTCCGGCTGGGACCCAGGACTTCAAGCCATGTGGCGCGTCCTGTTTCTGCTCAGCGGGCTCGGCGGGCTGTGGATGGACAGTAGTAAGTAGAAAAACTCCTTCTTTAGCTTTTTGGGACCCTCGGCGCTACTCCCCCTTTGCCTGCAAGTTACACTGGACATCCCTGGGAGGATGCTTTCCTGTGAGGTTTCCAACTCGGCAACTCCGAGCTCATCCCCGACATTGCCGCCTTCCCCAACCAGAATCCATAGAGAATAAGGGCTTTCCCACACGTCCTGGAAACCTAGGAAAGATGAGAGGACCCAGGCCTTAAGGGGATGCTTCAAAATTGTAGTTTCAGATCCTGCTTTGCATTTTTCACGACAGTGAAGGTTGAGACCCAACTTCTGTACTCTCTAATATGAATGCAAAAATGCAAAACAAAATAGTAGAAAATCAAACCCACAAAATGTAAAAGGGTGGGACATCATGGCCAAATATGGTATATTCC